GACGCTGAGGACCTCGGAAGCGGGCGCGGCGAGGTGACAGGCGTCGTAGCCCATGGCTTCAGCGAACTGCAGATGACCCTCCCCGGGTTTCCTCACACCGGGTCGCCGCCACCGCTTTCATGAGTTTTCTGCTGGCTTTTACTAAGTTAGCATGAACGACTTCTACCAGCTCAGCTTTGGCTTGACAAATCCCAAAAGCCGCCTCTTGCCGTTCCGCTGAACACCTCACACGCCATATGACCATAAGGACTGCCAACCTCATATGTTTAAACATTTCCCTAGCAGAATGAGAGGAACATCCCAGTGGAAGGCAACGCCCGTAGGCATGTGCCACATCGCATCCCACCATTGCCATACTCCTTTCACCAGTGGACAATCTAAAAGGCAATGCTCGAGATCCGCCCTTCGTGGTTGGGCGCCGGGTCCACAATGAGCGCAGATCGGAGATAGGACTCCCGCCTGCTCTAAGTCAGATCTCGTTGTTAGCGAGTCGGGCGTCGGGAGGCAGCGATGGGTTATTTGCCATTGAAGGGCTCTATGGGAGGCGGGCATAATGCGAGCGTAGGTAACCCACAGAATGCGACTCATGTTTTCCTCAGATAACGGAGAATCTCTCTTCCACCTGTTCTGGACGACCGCGGTGGAGGGGTGGAAGGCATGAACCCTTTTATATCCCTCCTTAACTGAGTATTGCCACACCGGGATGGGATTGCGGCCCTTCCATTCCCACTCTTGCGTATCTCTCTCTCTCTCTTTGTAACGAAAATAAAATGACTTATCAATTTCCAAACAAAATGGAACGTGATCGAAGGTGCACTAATATAAAGACAATTAGTATCCACAACGAAGAAACCGAGTTTTAAAATATGATGGTGCACCTTTCTATGTTCTAGTGAAAGATTCATTCTTATTTTGTACATTAGATCAAAAATTGTTTCTTCTTAGTTTTCACACGGAGGATTCAAGCTTCAGTCTGTATGTATCAGTAGTTAGGGTTTTGGGGGAGGAGGAGAGGGGGGAGGAAAAATGAGGTGGAGAAAGAGGACGGCGAGGAGGAGAAGGAGGGACGAGAGGAGGACGAGAGGAAGCATAACGAACAAAAGTAAAAAGAGTCGAGCAGAAAAAGTGATAGGAAATATGTGGAAGAACAAAAATATGCGATCTTTAGGGTAAGACGGGAAGATGGAAGGGGAAGGTTAGTATTAGAAAGTATAGAGGATAATATTGTGCTCTCGGTCGCCCGGGAGCAATAGATATCATTCCTCTTGTCTAGGAAGGTCTTGAATGATACCGCTAAAGGGTCTTCTTGATTGTTCCTACGGTGAAACGACGAAGTCACGGAAAAAAATAAATGTCGATGATGTCGCAAACGATGATAATGATGGTGATGATGAAGATGATGATTTGCGTCGATGATGATGATGAGCATCGATAGGACGCACGAGGATGATTATGAGATTCTGAAATAAAAAAGGAATCTCATTATGCCAATTAATGTAGATCTCTAATTAAATGACGTGACACTTGCCAACCATCCATGTGCCAACATTTGACGAATCCGGCGTTGCAATGATGCGAATAGCCAACATCGAAGGATCAAATAAGCAACGTCGATATGAACATTTGCCAAGCATAAGCCCATTGTCGCCAACGGTAGTTATTTGGATGCCTCTAACTTCAAGTCTTCAAACAATAGAGGGTCAATAGAACATGCTCCCATAGTTGGTCTTCGTGTTGGAAAACAAAATCGAATGACCTTTTGCTCTTTTTATCCATACGAGGTTGTTGTTATCGACGAGCAGCCGAATACAATTATTTCGTTCAAATATATACTTCAACGAAGGACCACAATAAATATATGGACCTGATTTTAATATATGGATCTGTTGTAGCACTCTATAATTTTGCAGTTTTTTTTCTTAAAACAACTGTGCCACCCCAGTCAAACTCCCCACCTTAGAATGTCGTTCGCTTAGATCCGATAGGCCACGAGGGTCCGCACCTTGGACTGAGACACACTACCAAAGTCTTCACTCCACCTGATGAAATAAGTAAAATAACGTTACGAGTAGTGATATTTCACGTACGAAATAAAAATCCCACTTATTCTACATTCTCAAGTCAGGGGTGGGGAGGAGGAGCATATGCCATCTCTCTCTCTCTCTCTCTCTCTCTCTCTCTCTCTCTCTCTCTCCCCGCCACACACAGACACGCACACACACCCAATCAATGCAATTGATTGATTGATTGATTGATTGATTGATTGTCTTTTTTTTTTTTAATTTTATAACAGATGTGCCGTCCCAGCCAAACTCCCCACATGACATTGTCTTTTGCTTGGATCCAATAGAACAATAACGTTAAGAGTAGTGGTTTTTCACTTACGCCTTAAAGCTCCCACTTATTCTATATCTCTCAAGTCATTTCACATAGTAAAAAGGGGGGGGGGGGAGGAGCAGAAACCCTCTCTCTCTCTCTCTATATATATATTTATCTATCTATCTATCTATCTATCTATCTATCTGCCTCTCTCCCCCCCCGCCCCGGCCCTCCACTCACACACACACCCAATCAATCAATCTTTCAATTAATGTGTATGATTGTATGGTTGACTGGTTCTTTTTTTTTTTTTTTTCCGAACAGATGTGCCGCCCCAGCCAAACTCGCCACCTGACAATGTCTTTCGCTTGGATCCGATAGGCCATGAGGGCCTGCACCTTGGATTGAGATGCAGGGGCAAAGCCCCGACGACACCTTGGATCAAATAAGTAAAATAACGTTAGCAGTTGTGGTATTTCACTTTCACCCTAAAACTCTTACTTATTCTACATCTCTCAAGTCATTTCATAGAGTAGGGGTGGGGCGGAGGGGCAAACACCCTCTCTCTCTCTCTCTCTCTCTCTCTCTCTCTCTCTCCCCCCCCCCCCCCCCCCCCCCCCCCCCCCCCC